ACCAGTTCGTATGAGAAGGACGGGCAGTGGCAGCTTCAGGACGGCGCGGGCTGTACGTGCGAGAAAGACGGGCAGTGGCAGGTGCGAGAAGCTGGCGGTGAAGCGGAGCCCACACGTGCCCAGCTACAGCTCCTCGCAGCCATGGCTGGATCTGGATCTCAGCCTCCAGCGGACGGACCGCGGAGGGACGGCACCAGCAGGGCCATGTGGATGGCTCGAGAAGTGATCGCATCAACGTGGCCGGCAGGAGACAAAGGCCATGGCAACAGCACGTGCGAGAAGTGGGAGGCGACGGTCGAGCCCGATGCGAGCAGCTACAGCGCTGGGATCAGGGCATGCGAGAGCGCTGGGGCCCAATGGGAAGCGAAGGATGTCCTCGGCGAGTGGGGCCCCCTCCCAGAGGAAGACCAGCAGAAGCTCGAGACCCGATACCAGAAGTACAGCATCACACCTAGCAGGAAGTTCAGCCCCTTCACCCTGCTTGGCTCAGACGGCAGGCCCACGTGGCCTCTCAGGCCAGACTTCGCGAAGATGGTCCTGAAGAGCACGCAGGGCAAGAGACGCATCCCGATAAGGTGCGTGCGAGAAGAGAGCGAGAGTGAAGCGGCAGCCCAACGTGACCAGCTACAATGCTGAGATCGGGCCGCCGTGAGAGAATGCGAGAAATGCGTGCAGAAGTTGCGAGGAGGACCTGCACCGCCTCGCGAGGCGGAGCCAGGGAGGAGACTGCAGCGCCCTGCTCCAGACCCTCGCGAGCCTCCCTCGGTTGAACCCCGCCACGTCCCCCTGTGGGCGGGGGCCGAGGGAGGGGGAGGCAATGCTGCGGGGCAGCGCTGAGCCGCGCGCGCGCGCCGAGCGCGCGCCCGCGCGGTCGTGCCACGACGTGGCGGCCTGAAAGAGCTCGGAAAGAGCTCCTCCTTCTCCTCCTCCGCCTCCTCCTCCTCTCCGTTCTCATCCATTGCTGCCCCCTCCTCCCTCGTCCTCCCTGGCTCCTCCGTCCTTTCTCTCCTGGCCCTCGCCCTCGCCCTCCTCATCGCCCTCCGCCCCCCGCCCCCCCCCCCCCCCTCGGAGGGGGGAAGCGAACCCCCCAGCGCACTCTGTGGGCCCTCCAAGCCTCCACATCCAGCCTCCGCCTCCCCCCCCCGCCCTCGCCCTGCTGCTCCTGTCATGCCCCTCCCCCTCTCCTCCCTCCCCCTCGTCGCCCTCTTCCTACCTTCTCCTCCTCCTCCTCCTCCTCCTCCTGCTCCTCCTGCTCCTCCTGCTCCTCCTCCTCCATCTCTCCTCCTCCTGCTCCTCCTCCTCCTCCGCTCCGTCCTCATCCATTGCGTCCCCCCTCCTCCTCGTCATCCCTGCTCCTCCGTCTCTCAGCCTGACCCTCCGCCCTCGCCACTCCTCATCGCCTCCCCGCCCCCCGCCCCGCCCCCCCCCCCTCGGAGGGTGGGAGCGAACCCCCCACCCCCCAGCGCACTCTGTGGCCCTCCGAGCCACCAAGTCCAACCCCCGCGGTCCTTCCACCTCCCCCTCGCCTCCCGCCCTCGCCCTGCTGCTCCTGCCCCTTCCCCGCGTCGCCCTCTTCCTACCCTCCTCCTCCTCCTCCTCCTCCTCCTCCTCTTCCTCCTCCTCCCCTGCCGCTCCTGCTCCTCCTTCTCACCCTCCTCGGCCTACCTTCCCGCTGTACCGCCTCCTCCCCCCGTCCCCCCCTCCCGATCACCTTCTTCCGCCACCCTCTCCTCCCCTGCTTCGCTCTCGTACCATTCTTCCCTCCACCCTTCCTCCTTCCAGATAGCCCCTCCCTGTCGCACCACCAGGCGTGTCCGTTGACCAGGCAGGGCGTTTCGCTGGAGCATCTCTTGGCTACCATGCATTACCCTCAAGCTCTAAAGGCTCCCACAATTACAAGGATGGATGGGGCGGTCTTTTTCTCAATGCAGTTCTCCCCTTGTCGCCGCCCATATTATTTCTGCAGTCGGGGTGGATTGGAGAGGACACGCGAGAGGACACCAGACTCCTTCGATGGCCACATTGCCACACGTAGAGGGCATGGCCCGCGAAACACAGGACACGAGGGTACCCTTGATCAGGGAAACAAAAAGGGCGTAAACATAAAACTCGGAGGTCCGCGCGGATTTCTCGGATCGGCGCTGGGGCCCCCGGCGGCGCCTCCGGCGCCGCCCCTGGCGCGCTCCGCGCGCCAGGGAGGGAGGTCCAGCGCCGATCCGAGAAATCCGCGCGGACCTCCGAGTTTTTATGCTTATGCCACTTCTTGTTCCCCGATTGCTTGGGCAGGGTCGATCTACGAATCAAGCTCGACTGCAGCACATCTCACACAACAAAATGCAGGGAAGGACAGAGCGTGGTCGCCCGAGGTGCAGGCCCGCTGGGCGCTCGTCACCCCAGGGGACAAAAGGCTCCTGCAGTGCAGAGGCATCCGCCGGCCGACCTCTGGCGCGTGAGCGAGCTCGAAAGGGGCCACGCTCAGACTTGGGCCCTGCTGAACTGCAGACCTGCTGCTGCGTGTGTGCGTGTGTGTGCGTGTGTGTGTGTGTGTGTGTGTGTGTGCGTGTGTGTGTGTGTGTGCGTGTGTGTGTGTGTGTGCGTGTGTGTGTGTGTGTGTGCGTGTGTGTGCGTGTGTGTGTGTGTGCGTGTGTGCGTGTGTGTGTGTGTGTGTGTGTGTGTGCGTGTGTAAGTGCGCGTGTGTGTGTGTGTGTGTGTGTGTGTGTGTGTGTGTGTGTGTGTGTGTTTGTGTTCCCTCCTCTCCCTCCCGCCCGCGCCGGGCCTCCTCTCTCTTCCCGCGAGCCCGCGGCTAAATTCGCGTTTCGTGTGCCCCACGAAGTGCCTCACCGCCGGAGCAGTCCCTCTGCCCAGCCGCCGTCGTAAAAGTGTGTTCCCTCCGCCCTCCTCCGCTTGCATGGTGGCACAATTTGCTCCAACGGATCCCCCGTTTATGTATTTCATCGCCAGCGCAATCACCCTCTGCCTGGCCGCCGACGCAACAAAATATGTCTGTGTGTGTGTTTGTGTTCGGGGATCTTCTGAGCCGGGTCAATCCAAACCCGGGTCAATCAGGCCTTGCAAGATCCTGCAGGATTCTGCACCCAAACCCGGGTCAATGCGAAGGATCCTGCAAATTCCTACGGGATCCTGCACCCAAGCCCAGGTCAGTGCGACACTGGCTCTGCAGGATCCTGCAAGATCGGGCGCTCTGGCTGACCCCCGTTTGCATTGACCCCCGTCTCAAGGCTCCCGATAAATAAACAAATCTATGTGTGTGTGTCTGTGTGTGAGTGTGTGTGTGTGTGTCTGTGTGTCTGTGTGTGTGTGTGTGTCTGTGTGTGTGTGTGTCTGTGTGTGTGTGCCAGGGTGGCTCTGCCCGGGTCTGGGGAAAGAGGGGGAGGGGCACGACTTTCCCAGACCGCCCCGAGACGGGCACAGAGGAGCCCAGTAGGACACCAAGACGCTCCAGGAGGCGCACCAGACGGCCCAAGAGCGCTCCAGAACGCACAAGAAGGCCTCAAGGCGGACGAAGAGACCTCCAAGACGCCTCAACAAGAAGGCCCAAAAGGACGTCCCAGAAGGCCCAAATCGGTCAAATCCACTATACCGCCTCTTCGGTCTTAAGAGCGCCCGAGACTGTCCAGGAGCGCCCCCGGACCGCCCCTAGACAGCCCAAGATGCCCCCGAGAGAGCCCCACTACAGCCCAAGAGGGTCGCACGATGGCAAAGGGCGCCCTCAAGACGACCCCAAGAGGGGAACTCGAACTGACCCTTCGAGCTCTTAACCCCAAGATGACCCCTAACGCCTCTAAGAGGCTCCCGACGCACCCCCATGAGGCCCAGAGAGGCCTTCGAAAGACCTCCAAGAATACCCCAAAGGCCCCCAAGGCCCCTTCGAGGGCCCAAGAGGCCTCCAAGAAATCCGCAAAAGGCCCCTAAGGGGCCACAAGAGGCGCCGCCTCTTGCGCTGCCAGGCCAAAGGTGCATGGTCTGACTCGGTATTGCTCGGAAGCGAAAGCGCTGAACTAAGAATCAGCGACGACCTCCGAACATCTCGGAGCTAAGACTTCTTCGCTCCTTGCTACGCGGTGGCGACCCTTAACACCAGGAGCGCCCCAGATCGACGACACAGGCCAGAGGCCATTGAAACAATGGTAGGGACTTCAGAGGAGGGGCAAGGGAGGGGATGGTGAATTGTAGTTTTCTTGATGCCTGCTGGGTTGACCTTCCTCCTCCTCCTCCTCCACCTCCTCCTCTTCCATGTCCTCCTCTCCCACCTGCTACAATTGCGGAGGAGAATGCGGGCGAAAAGGACAAAGAGGAGGAGAGGGAGGAGGGCAACAAAACATGAGCAGGACGCAGGAGGACGAGGAGAAGCAATGTCGCTGGAGGGATCACGCCGCACCCTCCACCTCGTCCCTTCCTCCTCCCTCTCCTCCTCTTCCCTCTCCTCCCCTCCCCAACTCCTCCTCCTCCTCCTCCTCCTCCTCCTCCTCCAACATCTCCCCCTGCTTCTCGACGACGTCGTTATCCCTCCCTTGCGCACCGCCGTCGGTAACTCCGCGCCGGGGTCCTGGAAGCGCAGGTCCGGGTGCTTCTTCAGCAAATAATTCACCATCTGCGGGTACGGGTTGCGGATCGTCCGGGCCTCGCTGGCCAGAGGCGGGGGCGGAGGGCGGTGGGCGAGGGCGGGGCTTGGATTCAGTCGGGCCTGTCCCGCCTGGAATCTTCAAACATGGTCACGAAATAGTATGGGGACGATTTTTGTAGTATTTGTTGGGCAATTTGGGGCTATTTCTTAGCTGTTTTTTCATTTTTCGCTCAAAACCTCCCTGTCAGAGTGAGGGGGCTGACCCGAACGGTCGTTCACTGTACCTGGGTGCGTGGCTGAAGTGGAATTCCGCGATGCGGATTCTTGTTGTTGTTTGTTGCTTGTTGTTGTCGTCGTCCCACCCGCGACCCGCCACGCGACCCACCCGCGACCCTCCCCACGACCCACCCGCGACCCCCCCGTGACCCACCCCGCGACCCACCCGCGACCCACCCCGCGACCCGCCCGCGACCCACCCCGAGACCCCCCTGGCGACCCACCCGCGACCCACCCGCGACCCACCCGCGACCCACCCGCGACCCACCCCGCGACCCACCCGCGACCCACCCGCGACCCACTCGCGACCCACCGCGACCCACCCGCGACCCACCCGCGACCCACCCGCGACCCACCCGCGACCCACCCAAAATTTTCGGCCCCTGCGGCGGGCTTCTTTTGCATTCGTTCCAGGTGGACCACCTGCGACCCACCCGCGACCCAAACCGCGCCCGCGACCCACGCGACCCACCTCGCGACCCACCCGGCGCGGCGGGCTTCTTTTGCATTCGTTCCAGGTGGACCCCTGCGACCCACCCGCGACCCAAACCGCGCCCGCGACCCCCCCGCGACCCACCGCGACCCACCCGCGACCCACCCGCGACCCACCCCGCGACCCACGCAAAATTTTCGGCGCCTGCGGCGGGCTCCTTTTGCATTCGTTCGAGGTGGAGAACCTGCGACCCACACCGCGTTCAGTGTACAAATCAAAATTTCCGGCGCCTGCCAGGTGGAGGTGGAGAGCCCGCGACCCACCCGCGACCCAAACTACGTTCACTGAACAAGCCAAAAACTTCGGCGCCTGCGGCGGGCTGTTTTTGCATTCGTTGAGGATGAGGACGACGACGACGACGACGATGAGGACGAGGACGCGGACGAGAAAGAGGAGGAGGAGGAGCAGAAGCAGGAGGAGGAGGAGGAGGGCGCCATCGACAGGGAAGGTGAGGGCCACGAGCTCCGCCGGCTCGACGCCCGCGCCGCCCGCCCCCGCCCCCTCACTCTCATCCGCACCTGCGGGATGCTGCGCAGAGGGACGTGCCCGACCCGAGGCTCGGAGGGCGACCCCGGGCCTGCCCGGAGCGTGCGTGCCCGGGATCGCGACGGGGGCAGGGCCGGCCTCGTGGAGCCCTGCCGGCGCCTCCCCCGTGTGCCGAGGGCGGGCCGGGCCCCTCGGGTGGCTTCGGGGGACTTGGCGCGGGGCCCCGCTTGCTTCAGGTCGGGCCTGCCCCCCTGCAGGGGGATTCTGGACGGAAAATTAAGAATATCCTAAAAATGTCCGAAGGATGCACAAAAATACTCCCCAAATAGTCCCCAGAGCATTTGTTGACTACTACGATGTGGCCACGGCTGCAGCTGCAACACGTCTGGCCACGTCTGGCCACGGCTGCAAACATCCAGACGCCCTTCTCTTCATCCGACTGGTGGGCCGCGAGGTCCAGCTCCGTGTGTGTGCTCGCCTGGGCGCCTCGTGCCAAATACCCGCCGCCGTGCCCCTTGGCACGTCGAGGCGTGGTAGAATGCCACGGGCTAGCTGGCAGAACGAGACCGGCACGAAACGTGAGCCGCCCAAATTGGGACATCGACGTCGGTCTCGTGTCGTGCGTGATGTGCGTGCGGGCGAGTCGAGGCGCAGCTGGCGGAGTGCGTCCTCTAGAGGCCAGGGCAGACACAACGGAGTCGCCCCTCCGGAGGCCGTGGCGCGGTGGTGTCCCGACCTACTGTCCCGACGGTGATCAGGGTGGCTGTCCCCGCTGGTTGTCCTGCTGATTGCCCCGCTGGTTGTCCCGATGGTTGTCCCGATGGTTTTCCCGACGGTTGCCCCGATGGTTGACCCGATGCTTGTCCCGATGGTTGTCCCGACGGTTATCGAGATGGCTCTGCTCTGCGATGCCATAGTGTCAAAAATGTGGTCTGCGAGGCCAGAATATCCAACAAATGCACCCGTAGTGCACACATAGCAATCGAAACGATTGCGGGGCAATGCTACTTAAACAACGCGCCCTGGGGGTCAGCACAGTCAGCATATGGTTGTTCCAATGGTTGTTGTGTTGGTTGCCTCGGTTGGTGTCCAATATATTCATGTGGGTTGGGCAATGCGATCGGAATAATGTATGTATACCTCGATTCATGTACAATGAGCTCGGGCGATAGAACCTGAGAACAATACATTTGTCTGATACAGACGGTTGCACCAATGCTTGTTTCGATGGTTGTTCGAATTGGCAGAATTTCCCGCAACTTGTTCCGATGTGTCGATCTTGAGGTCGACCGATAAGTCGTGATACTGCTAAGCTGTACTACCGACATACCGATCTATGGATCGACCGGGTGGTGTGATTGTCTGGTAACTGTCCCGTTGAGGGACGCATGCGTAATGTGAGAACGGTCTATGTAGTTGTAGTGCAACAGAACTACAGACATTGAAAACATGAGATATACACATATGTATGTATCCGCCACCGTACCTCGAGGCACGAAGTGAGTGTCCTCAGGTCCTCAAGTGCTCCCTGTCCTGTGTACGTATTCTGGGGGCTGTGGGCCCAAATTCTCAAAGTTCCCCGGCGTTCCGCGCGCTCTTGGGCCCTGTCACATGGATTCTTCAGAGGCCACACGGCCCCAAGACAGGCCAGGAGGGCCCCGAGAAGCGCCCAGGAGGCCTCCAAGGCAGCCCAGGAGCGCTCCAAGACGCCCAAGATGGCCCCAAGAGTGCCCAAGAGGCCCCCAAGAAGCCCCAAGAGCGCTCCAAGAGGAACCCCCAGGGCCCAAAGAAGCAACACGTCATGAATGTTCCTTGTGCTTTCCTATGTTTTTCGCGTTCTCGCGTGTTCGGGCTTCCAACGCACCTAAAGGCCCTAGAGACACCCAAGATCGCCCCAAGACGGCCCTAGAGGCCCCAAGACGGTCCAAGAGGTCCCCACAACGGCCCAAGAGGCGCCCAAGGTAGCCCAGGAGGGCCCCGAGACGGCCCCAAGATGGACCCCAAAGGGGGAACACGAACCAACAACTCGAGCCCTCCGCCCCAGGCCCCCAGGAGGCCCCAAGAGGCCCCCAAGAGAGCCCAAGAAACCCCCGAGCAGCCCCACGAGGCCCCCAAACGGCCCCCAAGAGGCCCCAAAACTACTTCCAAGAGTATCCCGAGAAGCCTCCCACGAAATCCAAGCAAACATCCAAGAGGTCTTTGACCCACAACCCAAGCACGGTGGCGGGATGGACCGATGGCCACTATACAGATTGACAATGGGATCGGTCGGTTGACTGTGAAACATGTAGATACTGCGTCCGATCGATACATTGGAAGTGGGATCGATATATTGATAGTAAAACAAGCACACACGCCCGCCAACCCACCCACCCACACACACAGAAACACGCGCGCACACACGCACACGCACACGCACAGACACAGACACAGACACACAGAGCCAACACACACACACACACCGACACACACAGAAATACACACAGACACACGAACACACGGAGACACATAGACACAGAGACACAACGACACAGACACAGAGACACAGAGAGACACAGAGACACACATACACAGAGACACAGAGATACAGACACACAGAGACACACAGAGACACAGGCACAAAGACACACAGACGCAAAAACACAGAGAGACACACAGACACACAGACACATAGACACGCAGGCACACATACACGCAGATACACAGACACACACAGACACACATAACAACACAGATGCACAGACACGCAGACACGTAGACACGCAGACACGCAGACGCACAGACACACACACACACACACGCACGCACGGACGCACGCAAGCACGTACGTAGGTACACACACATATACACAATTATCCCGGCAAAGCAACCTAACAGCGATGTGTAGGAGCATATCTGGAAGCATTCCCCTTAAGATTCAGATAAGAATCCTGTTGTAGAATTCTGCTGTTCTCGCAGTCGTGGTCGCATTCGCGATGGCAGTCGCAGTGGCAACAGCAGTCGCAGTCACAGCCTCAGCCTCAGCCTGCCTCAGCCTCAGCCTCAGCCTGCCTCAGCCTCAGCCTGCCTCAGCCTCGCCCTCAGCCTGCTTCAGCCTCAACATCAGTCTGCCTTCAGCCTCGGCCTCAGCCTGCCTCAGCCTCAGCCTCAGCCTGCCTCAGCCTCAGCCTCAGTCTGCCTTCAGCCTCGGCGTCAGCCTCAGCTGCCTCAGCCTCAGCCGGCATCAGCCTCAGCCTCAGCCTCAGCCTGCCTCAGCATCAGCCTGCCTCAGCCTCAGCCTCAGCCTGCCTCTGCCTCAGCCTCAGCCTGCTTCAGCCTCAGCCTCAGTCTGCCGTCGGCCTCGGCCTCAGCCTCAGCCTGCCTCACCCTCAGCCTGCATCAGCCTCAGCCTCAGCCACAGCCTGCCTCAGCATCAGCCTGCCTCAGCCTCAGCCTCAGCCTCAGCCTCAGCCTCCTCAGCCTCAGCCTCAGCCTGCTCAGCCTCAGCCTGAGTTTGCCTGCAGCCTCGGCCTCAGCCTCAGCCTGCCTCAGCCTCAGGCCTCAGCCTCAGCCTCAGCCTGCCTCAGCCTCAACCTGCCTCAGCCTCAGCCTCAGCCTGCCTCAGCCTCAGCCTCAGCCTGCTTCAGCCTCAGCCTCAGTCTGCCTTCAGCCTCGCCCTCAGCCTCAGCCTGCCTCAGCCTCAGCCTGCATCAGCCTCAGCCTCAGCCTCAGCCTGCCTCAGCATCAGCCTGCCTCAGCCTCAGCCTCAGCCTGCCTCACCCTCAGCCTCAGCCTGCTTCAGCCTCAGCCTCAGTCTGCCTTCGCCTCGCCTCAGCCTCCGCCTGCCCTCAGCCTTCGGCGCTGCATCGGCCCCTCAGCCTCAGCCACAGCACTGACCTCAGCCTCAGTCGCCTGCGAAGCTGTCAGCCTCAGCCTCAGCCTGCCTCAGCCTCAGCCTCACCTGCTATCAGCCTCAGCCTGAGTTTGCGAGCAGCCTCAGCCTCAGCCTCAGCCTGCCTCAGCCTCAGCCTGCCTCAGCCTCAGCCTCAGCCTGCTTCAGCCTCAGCCTCAGTCTGCCTTCAGCCTCGGCCTAGCCTCAGCCTGCCTCAGCCTCAGCCTGCATCAGCCTCAGCCTCAGCCTCAGCCTGCCTCAGCATCAGCCTGCCTCAGCCTCAGCCTCAGCCTGCCTCAGCCTCAGCCTCAGCCTGCTTCAGCCTCAGCATCAGTCTGCCTTCAGCCTCGGCCTCAGCCTCCGCCTGCCTCAGCCTCGGCCTGCATCAGCCTCAGCCTCAGCCTCAGCCTGCCTCAGCCTCAGCCTGCCTCAGCCTCAGCCTCAGCCTGCCTCAGCCTCATCCTGCCTCAGCCTCAGCCTCAGCCTGCTTCAGCCTCAGCCTCAGTCTGCCTTCAGCCTCGGCCTCAGCCTCAGCCTGCCTCAGCCTCAGCCTGCATCAGCCTCAGCCTCAGCCTCAGCCTGCCTCAGCATCCGCCTGCCTCAGCCTCAGCCTCAGCCTGCCTCTGCCTCAGCCTCAGCCTGCTTCAGCCTCAGCCTCAATCTGCCGTCGGCCTCGGCCTCAGCCTCAGCCTGCTCAGCCTCAGCCTGCCTCAGCCTCAGCCTCAGCCTCAGCCTCAGCCTCAGCAGCCTCAGCCTGCCTCAGCCTCAGCCTCAGCCTCAGCCTCAGCCTCAGCCTCAGCATCAGCCTGCATCAGCCTCAGCCTCAGCCTGCCTCTGCCTCAGCCTCAGCCTCATCCTTCAGCCTCAGCCTCAGTCTGCCTCAGCCTTGGCCTCAGCCTCAGCCTGCCTCAGCCTCAGCCTGCATCAGCCTCAGCCTCAGCCTCAGCCTGCCTCAGCATCAGCCTGCCTCAGCCTCAGCCTCAGCCTGCCTCAGCCTCAGCCTCAGCCTGCTTCAGCCTCAGCCTCAGTCTGCCTGCAGCCTCGTCCTCAGCTTCAGTCTGCCTTCAGCCTCAGCCTGCCTCAGCCTCAGCATCAGCCTGCCTCAGCATTCAAAGTGTGGCCCGGGAATGGAGTTCTGGGAACTCGAAGAACACGAAATGGCCTACAGTTGGCTCCCGGGCATTCAAAATCATGCCCAGGAATGGAGTTCTGGGAACTCGAACACCACGAAGTGGCCTACAGTTGGCTCCGGGCATTCCAAAATGTGGCCCAGGGAATGGAAGTTCTGGGAACTCGAAGACCACGAAGTGTGTGACTGTTTGCATCCGGCCCTCCAGAATGTGGCCCGGGAATGGAGTTCTGGGAACTCGAAGAGCACGAAGTGTGTGACTGTTGCATCCGGCCCTCCAGAATGTGGCCCGGGAATGGAGTTCTGGGAACTCGAAGAGCACGAAGTGTGTGACTGTTGCATTCGGCCCTCCAGAATGTGGCCTGGGAATGGAGTTCTGGGAAATCGAAGAGCACGAAGTGTGTGACTGTTGGCGAAAAACGAGCCCGGCACCTGCCGCCCGGCAACTCCCAACACCTGCCCGGACCCCCCTGTGGAGTGATCTGTGAGCTCTTTTGAGTCAACTAGAAACCTATCAGTCTTCGCTGTCAGGTAAATACACAAGCACACGCACCCACACACACACACATACTTCGATCGTTAGTCCGGCACGCATATACATATTTACACAGACTCACAGACAGACGCTCACAGACAGACGCAGAGACACAGAGATACACAGAGACACACAGACACGCAGACACACAGACACAGAGGCACAGAAACACAGAGACACGGAGACACAGACACACAAAGACACATAGAAACAGAGACACAGAGACACAGAGACACAGAGACACACAGACACACGGACACACAGACACAAAGACACACAAACACACAGACACGCAGACACGCAGACACGCAGACACGCAGAAACGCAGACACGCAGACGCGCAGACGCACACACAAACGCACACAAACACACACGCACGCACGCAAACACACACGCACACACAGACACAGACACAGACACAGACACCACACATGCCTCACGGCACGCACACCCACACACACACACACACGCACGCACGCACGCACGCACGCACGCACGCACAAACACACACACAAACACACACAAACACATACAAACACACCCAAACACACAAACATACACTTTGACTGTTAGTCCGTCACGCATATACAGATGTACATCTATACCTATATATATATATGTATGTATGTGTGTATATATATATATGTACTGGTACTGCGATCGGCAGATCGAGTGATCGATGTTTAGATTGGTAGCGGGACCGGTAGTCACGGAGACAGACCGATACGTATCGGTACATTTTGGGAAACGCACAGATTGCAAACGGGAGGCTACGCCCATCCCCAGCCCCAGACCCCCTTCTCACCCGAAGGGTGGTCTTATCTCTTCCAAAGCCGCCAAGATCGCGCGCCACGTCCCCCGAAGGTGCGCCCAATCGCCTCCAAGAGCACCCCAAGGGGTGCCACAGAGGCTTCAATCGGTGTGCCGAAAGTTCTCCAGGTATAGTAGCTGCTCCCCACCCCTCGGGTTTTGCCATCTCTAATCTGTCCAACCTTTTCAGCTCATGATCGTTTCAAGAAGGTTTCGTAAATCTCGGATAAGAGAAAGAAACTCACAACTAATCAAACGAGGGCACTCACAAGCCCTCCAGCCGGCCCAGGGCAGCCCCAGCATGGCTGAAGAGGGCCCTGTATAGGGCAAGAGAGTCTCGAGACGCACCAGAAGGGCCTCAGGAGGCCTCCAAGATAGCTGCAGAATCCTCCCCAGACGACGGAGAAAGGCCCCAGATGGCTCACGAGAGCACCAATAGAGCCCTAGAGGGCAACACGACGGACCAATGGAATCCCAAGAGGATCTCAAAACGGCCTCTCAGGAGCGCAAAATAGCTCTGATACGGCACATGAAATCTCCATGAGAGCACCGCCATGGATGATCACGACAAGTGTCACATGTCAAAGCCTTCTGGGCGTATCTTCTATGTGAAGGCGCCGCCACCCGAACCTGAGACAGGCCCAAGGTACAGAACACGGTCTCATGAAAGCCCAAGGACAGACAAGGAGGAGGGGGAAGAGGATGAAGAGGACAGTGAGGGATCGCGAGGAGAGGACGACGACGAGAATGAAGAGAAACACAGCGAAACGACGCGGAAAGACGTGTCACATGTTGGGGCTCCCCCAAGCCTGCGGACACGAGGCGTCTCATGTTACAGCCTCCTGCTCACCCCTCGAACTGTCGCCACCCAGAGTGCTGAGCTGGGGCGGTGCCAGGGCTTGCCGCAGGCAGCTGATAGACACGAAAACAAAGGGAAGGCCGATCAACAAACATCGGCTACACGCAAGAGTGACCCTAGGCAAGAGTGACCTTCTGGTGTGCGGCTTTAGGGGGGGGGGGGCGCGGGAGGGCATCACCCGAGAGCGCAAGCCTCTGCAGTCGCATCTCTTTTCAGCGATCGAGGGGCCCCAGTGGGTCCGCACTCGAGGTCCCGTACATGGACAATGAGTTCGAACCCTGCGGCGTAAGATATCCCCCCCCCGGACACCCAAACTTAACACTAAGGGTGCGGAAATGGAGATGGCATGGGTGGACAGAGATATTCGAACCCCAAAACCACCACCAATGCTAAAATCAACATTGATTTCGGGGCCTGGGGGGTGAGGAACATCCCCCTCACGTGTGTGAGGGTTCGAATACTTTGTCCGTGCACTGTCATTCCAGCGACAGGTCACTCTTACGTGTGATCGGAGCCACAACCAATTCGACCGAATGAGGGGCAACGATAGGGGGGGATAGGCATAGGGAGGGAACATCGACCTCGAATGGGAGATACATCGACGATAGGTCGGCGATTGGCCCCCATAGTGAGTCCGCACGTTCATGGGCGGGTTGGGGCTATCGGGCCCCTACCAGCGATCAATGGGCGATTGGGGATCAATGCATCCCCCCCCTATGCCTATCCCCCCTATCGTTAGGTCGGGCATGTCATCCTACAGACGGATTTTGGAAGAACAGTGAAATCATTCAAGAAATGACTACAACCATTGTCAGAAGAGCAGAAGGAATCGTCCCCATACTATTTTCGGGGGCTATTTTTGAGTATTCCTCCTTAGAGGGAGGACGTTCCCGACTTAACCCTATCGTTGCCCTTTGCCGAAGTTTACAGGCCTCCTAGATAGGTTCGGAACAGATGGGGTCGGAGGATCGCGCAGCATCTCCGATACATCGGCGACGCATCGGCATTGTTTTGGCGATGCATCGGCGATGCACTGGCGATGCATCGCCGACGTGGGCGATGCATCGGCGACGTCGACGTGAAGCAAGTCGGGCTCCACATCGAGCCGCGTCGGCGATGCATCGGCGATGCGGCGCGATCCACCGACTCCATCTACTCGGACCCTATCTGGGAGGCCTAAGTCGGGCCTGTCCTCCTACAGGGGGGTTTTGAACGAAAACTGACAAATAGTCAAACAATACACCAAAATGGTTCAAAATGTTCAAAAGCGTTCCTATACAATTTTTGGACTATTTTTGAATCTTCCTCCTGTAGAGGGACAGGCCCGACTTAATCCTAGCTCTCGTGACCTCACGCCAGGGCCGGGCGAGGTGCCGGCGGCCTGGAAGCCGAGGCCGTGGTTCTCGAGGGGCGGTACCTCTCCCCCGTATGGCGGAAGTGCGCGGGACAGGGCGGGCCCCCCACTCTCCTCCTCCGCCTCCTCCTCCTCCTCCTCCGCCTCCTCCTCCTCCTCCTCCTCCTCCGCCTCCTCCTCCTCCACCTCCGCCTCCGCCCTCCTCCTTCCGCCTCCTCCTCCTCCTCCTCCTCCTTCCTTCTCCTCCGCTCCCGCCTCCTCCTCCTCCTCCCTCCTCCTCCGCCTCCTCCTCCGCCTCTCCTCCTCCTCCTCCTCCTCCTCCTCCTGTCCTCCTTACTCCTTCCTCCTCCTCCTCCTCCTCCTCCTCCTCCTCCCCTCCCCCTCCTCCTCCTCCTCCTCCTCCTCCTCCTCCTCCTCCTCCTCCTCCTCCTCCTCCTCCTCCTCCTCCTCCACCTCCCTCCTCCCCCCACGCCCTCCCCCCACGCGCGGGCAGGGGCGGCGGGCGCCCGCTCGCACCACTCCAGCCACGGGGGCCGCTCCTTCAGCAGCCCCGTCTCGCACAGCCGCCTGGCTCGCTCCGCCGGGCCGCGGGGGGCCACGGGGCCACCCAGGCTCGGCGACGCGCCGACGCCGACGGGTCGACCGCACGCTACTGGGGAGGGGCTGTGTAGGGGGCCACATGCGAGCCCTACCCCGACGCCCCACGATTTCTGAGGGGGAGGGTGGGGTTCACTTCCTTCGGGAGCTCCCGAGCGAAGTGAACCCCACCCTCCCCCTCAGAGATCGGGGGGGGTAGGGTAGGGCTCGCATGTGGCCCCCGAGTGTGTCCCCTGCCGGCGACGACTGGGCGATCTGTGGTCGACGCACGTGCCCCACGGGGCCTGCGGCCCGGAACTCTTGCTCGGCGCGTCACGGCGGCGGCCCCTGGCGACGCGCTGTGCCCTGCGCGCGGATCGCGTGGCTCCGCTCCGCGGGCCGTGGGGGCTCAGAGAGGCTCGGGACGTCGCCGACTGGGGACAGAACGTGCGGTCAGCGGTGTCGCGCCGAACCGTGGAGGGCCAGAGCCAGCAGCGCGACGCAGCGCGGTCTCCGACTCGCGAAACTGGCGCGGGCCTCCAGGAGTTTCTGCTCGTGCAACCTCTGACTCCCCTCGAGGCTGGGCCGGTACTCCTTCTGCTTCTGCTTCTGCTTCTGCTTCTGCGTCTTCTTCCTCCCCTTCTTCTGCATGAAGCGGCAGCAGCAGCATCACCATCACCATCGCATGATCATGCTCACCATCACCATCACCATCACCATCACCATCACCATCACCATCAACATCAACACCGCCATCACCATCATCACCAACCGTCACCATGATCCACACAATCACCATTCACCATCACCATCACCATGATTACCATCATCATCATCATCATCATCATCATCATCAACATCGTCATCATCACCATCACCATCACCATCACCATCATCATCATCATCATCATCATCATCATCATCATCATCATCATCATCATCATCATCATCATCATCGTCATCCTCATCCTCATCATCACCATCATCATCATCATCATCATCATCATCACCACCACCATCATCATCATCATCGTCGTCGTCGAAGTCGTCGTCGTCGCGTCATTGTCAGCATCGTCGTCGTCGGCATCGCAGTGATAGAGGCCTCCTAGATGGGGTCCGAGTAGATGGGGTCGGAGGATGGCGCCGCATCGACGATACATCGACGATGCATCGGCGATGCATCGGCGATGCATCGGCGATGCATCGGCGATACATCGGCGATGCACCAGCGATGCATCGTCGACGTCAGCGATGAATCGGCGACGTCGACGTGAAGCAAATCGGGCTCCACATCCAGCCGCATCGGCGATGCATCGGCGATGCGGCGCGCTCCTTCGGCCCCATCTAGGAGGCCTAGACGTGAGCACCCCCATCCGCGACGACCGGGGCAGCGTTTGGACTCTTTGCGCCCGGGCGTGCCCGCGCAGGCCTCCGGACAGCCGGGCGGCGTCGGGCGCCCTTCGTGCCCGACCGGGCTGCACCGAATTTGTCATTGCCGTCCAGCCTGTCGCGTGGAGGGAGTCTTCCTCCTCCTCCTCCTCCTCCCTCCCTCCTCCCTCCTCCTCCTCCTCCTCCTCCTCCTCCTCTTCTTCTTCTTCTTCTTTCTTCTCTTCTCCTTCTCCTTCTCCTTTCTTTTTTCTTCTCCTTCTTCTTCTTCTTCTTCTTCTTTCTTCCATCCTCTCCTCCTCCTCCTCCTCCTCCTCCTCCTCCTCCTCCTCCCTTCCTCCTCCTCCTCCTCCTCCTCCTCCTCCTCCTCCTCCTCCTCCTCCATGTCTCTGAAAATGCTCAGGCGGTCTTGGACCCCTCTGAACCTGGGGAGGACTCCACGGGAGCCGACAGGTGACCTCTGGAGCCTCGAACGGACTCCAGGGACCTCAAGGTGACGTCCAGAAGGCTCGACTATCGAATTCACTCGTCCTGGCTTCTGGGATTCCTCCTGGTGACGTCCCGAGGGGCTCGACCATCGAGTCGCTCGTTGGAATTTGCAGCTTCGCTCCCTCTCCTCCTCCTCCTTCTCCTCCTCCTCCTCCTGCTCCAGCCGCGCAGCCCGGCGGATACTTGGCACGGCGCTCGGGCAGCGTAGATGTTTCGGCATCGCGCTCTGCATGTGATCGTGCACGTGCACGCTTGATCTTCGATTCTAAATCGCTCGCGGCCGCCCATGGCCATGATGCACCATGATGCACCCGCCCGCTCACCCTAGATCCTAGATGTGCGTATTCAGCCCTCCCTGGGCCAATACTGGCAATCGACTGGAGAAGATTGGCCACGCGTGTGGTGGGGAGGTCTCTGGAGGTCTCCAGAGCGTCCCCGGAAGCTTGCGGAGGCCCCCGTGGAGGTCTCCGCGGACCCGTGGGGGCGCCCGGAGGCACCAATAAGGTACGCGTCGTTCATTTCTACTCGTGCTCCTTTCTAACTGTTGCTGGCCCCCCCAGTGGCCACGAAGAGGCCCAGGATAGAACAACTAGAGGTGAAAGGATCTTGCCCCCCCAGAAATCAGAGAACTCTCGAAGAATTAGAAGTGAGCAATGTGCAAGTAAGCACACGGACGATCGCTCGACGGCGTGCGCTGCCTCCGCTGGAGCGGGCGCAGCGGCAGTGGGCTGGAAGGCCGGCTGCTCCGTCTCGCGCCGCGCCGCGCGTGCGCCACACTGCTCTGCGGTTATGATGTTCCAATGTTCCAACCAACTTTAGCCTTGACCACCAGAAAGAATTCCGAGCACCAGGGAAAGAACAAACGAAACTCGAGGGCTTTCACGTGTCGGGCCCTGGGAGACATTCGCCCGACACGGTTCCGACACTCCTTCGACACTGCTCCAGGCGCTCGCCATCATTTTTGGGGGGCGGTCCTTGAGTACGATGGGAGCAGCACAGCTCTGCGGTCGGCAACGGTCACGCTCAGCACGTCGCGGCGGCGACCCGGCGACACGCCATGCCCTGCGAGCGGAAGCCGTGCCGCTCCGCTCTGCGGGGCGGGAAGGCTGGGAGCGGCTCGGGACGCCGGCGCTTCGGACCTGGGACGTGCACAGGGTGCCGCGCCGAAGCGCGGTGGGCCAGGACCGGCGGAGCGACACGCTAACCAGCAGCTCCCGACCGCAGCCTGTGGGGTGCAGTCGGGGCTGATTGCAGTCGGGCACCCAAGAGGACACCGGGTTGCTTTCGAGGGCCCCACGTGTCCGAGAGGCGAAGGAAAGAAACATAGGCGCTACACTCATGCACTTTGTGAGGTCCGCGCGGATTTCTGTGATCGGCGCTGGACTCCTCTCCTGGCGAGCGGAGCGCGCCAGGGGCGGCGCCGTTTGTCCGGCACCCGCCGATAACGTTGGTCTTTCGATATCGGCCTTGAGGTGGAAATTATTGCCGCGAGCGCCCGCCGCCAGAGTGGGTATCGATTCCCGCCTACGGCAGGTTCGCGTCGTGACGACCTGCGCCTTGGCCTCGGACGCCGCATTGATCGCTCGACCCTGGACGCTCGCGGCTTTCCGAGAACCGCTGGTCGTTCGACGTCGGCCTGTTCGGCGCCACTGGCGGCGCTCAAACATCAACTCTTGTGCTGGGGTCGCCGCCGAGGCTACGCGGCGCGAGCCTACCTAACATCCTGCGGGCCGCCGGTGTTGTCCAGGTGACGCGGGCACCAAAGGGATGGCACCAGGGGGACTTTGGGGCCGTGGGCTTGCGCCGAGGGCTACGTGAGAGCCGTTACTTCGACGTCGTGGCTACCGCCACTTCCTTGTCCCCACCCTCTGGAGATAGCGCCCCTTCCTGTGATGCAGTATCCTTCGAAACCAACCGACTGGCCCTCTCCCATGGCTGCCAGCTTTCTGACACACGCGCACACTGCCCCAGTGGTCAGCATGGACCTGAGGGCGGGCTCGGCCTCGAGCTGCGCGTGACAGAGCGATAGATGTTCGACCATGAACTGGATGTTGCTTCCAAATTGGAGCACTTCCTGCGTGGATATCCTGATGGGCGCCTTGGCTGCAGGCTGGCGCTGCCAAGCTTTATACTCCCCCTGCGAGCAGATCCCTAATCATGAATGACGTCGTGAGCCTTCTCAAATGTCGGCTGGCGCACATTACCAGTACAGGGCCCCTTCGCACAACGAGCTCAGAGCTGTATGCTTCTCCTATCATTACGAATATTATTCCTCCTCTTCCTCCTTCTTCATCTTCGTATTCCTCCTCCTCCTTCTTCTCCTCCTCCTCCTCCTCCTCCTCCTCCTCCTCCCCCTCCTCCTTCCTCTGCTTAAAATTTAAGCCATAGCCTGGGCCGCACACGGCCGTTTGGAAGGACCCTGTGTTCCGCCGAAGCCTTTCGACGAGGCGCAACTGCTGAAAAATTCTCCTGGGCGCAAGAACTTCCAGGGATTCCATACAACGCTCGTGGGTCCACTCCCTCCTCCTCCTCGTCCTCGTCCTAATCCTCCTTCTCCTCGTCCTCCTCCTCCTCCTGCTCCTCCACCTCCTCCTCCTCCTCCTCTTTCTCCGCCTCCGCCTCCTCCTCCTTCTCCTCCTCCTCCGCCTCCTCCTCCTCCTCCTCTCCTCCTCCTCTGCCTCCTCCTCCTCCTCCTCCTACACCCTCCTCCTCCTCCGACTCCTTCTCCTCCTCCTCTTCCTCCTCGTCCTCATCCTTCCTCCTCCGCCTCGTCCTCTTCCTCTTCCTCCTCCTCCTCCTCCTCCTCCTCATCAGCATCAGCATCAGCATCAGCATCAGCATCAGCGTCAGCATCAGCATCAGCATCAGCATCAGCATCACCACCACCATCATCATCATCATCATCATCATCATCATCATCATCATCATCATCATCATCATCGTCATCATCATCATCATCATCATCATCATCATCATCAGCAGCATCATCAGCATCATCATCATCATCGTCATCATCAGCATCATCATCATCATCATCATCAGCATCAGTATCAGCATCAGCATCAGCATCAGCATCATCATCATCATCATAATCATCACCATCAACATCATCAGCATCCTTCCTCCTCATCCTTCTTACTTCACCTCCTCCTCCTCATCATCATCCTCATCATCAGCAGCATCACCATCATCATCATAATAATCATCATCAGCATCAGCATCAGCATCAACATCATCATCATCATCATCATCATCATCATCATCATCATCATCACCATCGCCATCACCATCACTGTCACCAGCATCGTCACCCATATCAGCATCAGCATCAGCATCAGCATCGTCATCGTCATCATCATCATCATCATCATCATCATCAACATCAACATCAGCATCATCATCAGTATCATCATCGTCATCATCATTATCATCCGCATCCTCATCCTCATCCTCATCATCAGCCTCCTCCTCATCATCACCGTCATTGTCATCAGCATCATCATCATCACCACCATCATCATCATCATCATCATCATCACCGTCATCGCCATCATCATTATCCTCATCCTCATCCTCATCCTCATCATCATCCATCATCATCATCAGCATCATCATCGTCATCATCACCATCATCATCGTCATCGTCATTATCCATCCTCCTCCTCCTCCTGCTTCCTCATCCTCCTCCTGCTTCCTCCTCCTCCTCCTCCTGCTTCCTCCTCCTCCTCCTCCTCCTGCTTCCTCCTCCTCCTCCTCCTCCTCCTCCTCCTCCTCAGTGACCAGACTGGCGGGGCTGCTCCGCGCGTGCCGCGGGCCCACCGTGCCCCGCCTCCGCGCGGCGGCGGGGCTCCGGCCTCTCGGGCTCTGCTCGGTCTCGACGGGCTGGCGAACCAGCCCGTGGGCCATGCCAACCGTGCACGGGTTCCCCCGGGGCGGTAGGCGACCCGAGGAGGAGGAGGAGGAGGAGGAGGAGGAGGAGGAGGAGGAGGAGGAGGAGGAGGAGGAGGAGGGGGAGGCGGAGGAGGAGGATAGGGGGGAGGAGGAGGAGGAGGAGGAGGAGGAGGAGGAGGAGGGGGAGGCGGAGGAGGAGGATAGGGGGTTCTGCCCATGCTCTCTCCCACTGCCTCCTCCGTTCTCTCCTGCCTCGTCCCTGTCATCCTGCCTGCGTTTTGCTCCCCCCCTGTCTCGTCCTCCTGCCTCCTCCTGCCTCCTCGTCTGTCCCCCTCCTCCGCGTCCTCACCCTGCCTCCTGTGTCATCGTCCTTCTTCTGTTTCCTCCACCTCGTGCCTCTCCGTCCTGCCTCGTCCTCGCAAGAAGGCCCAGGAACGAGGCTCCCGCTCGAGACTTCTGCGATATCCACGCTCGCAGGTGCCCCCAAACCTGTCTTTGCACTGGTATCCCGATGGCCGCCTAGGCTTAGTAACGGAATGCACGGCCCTCATAATACTCACTACTTCCTCGCGACTGGCTCGCTGGCGAGGCTCCCGCTCGAAACGTGCGTAATATGAGTGGGTGAGTGAATGAGTGAATGAGTGAGCGAGTGAGTGTGTGTGTGCGAACATGTGTGTGTGTCGGTTATGGATATGCGTGAGTGCGTGCGTGCGTGCGTGCGTGCGTGCGTGCTCGCGTGCGTGTGTGTGTGTGTGTGTGTGTGTGTGTTTGTGTGTGTGTGTGTGTGAGTGAGGGCGCGATTCCCATAACCTGACTGTGTCCGAACTGCAGGGCCTCTGCCTGGATCCCCAGGGGGCCAGGGATGTCAGGATGCGCGCCAGGGCTACAAGCTACCAGGATACGAATATGTCCAAAAACGAGCGCAACATCGATCCCAGCAGTGGAGTTTTGGGAACACGACAAACCTGAAACAACCTAGAGTTGATCCCGGACACTCAAAATCAGTCCGGGGAGTGGACCTCTGGGAGAGCACGAACGGCCCGCTATGGCCCACAGTTGGCTCTGGACGTGCAGCATCAGCCCCGCGAGTGGAGTTCTGGGGCAACGAAGAGCCCGACGTGGCTCACAGCTGGCCCCTGAAGTGCAGAATGAGTTTGGGAGTGGAGTTTTGGGAGCTCGAAAAACACGACATGGCCTACAGTTGGCCCCAGGAACTTGAAAATGGTTCTGGGAGTGAAGTTTTGGCGGGCCGATGATCACGCTTGCGTCTGTATGTTTTTCGATGTGCGGGCCCCGCAGGGAGGGCTCCCCGCACGCAACGCCCTCGCAACTGACTTACAGAAGAGTCTCCCGTTCGACGCTTCCTCAAGACTAGAGCATGACTGTGCGAGTGTGACCGTGAGTGGGGGCGTCAGTGTGTGACCGTGCGTGGTGGTGCTGATGATGAAGATTGTGCTGGGTGGTGATGAAGGTTGATGGGAGGAAAGGGTGGGAGGAAGAGGAGAATTGCGCGGGGTGTCCAGGGAAAACAAGAAACCCACTTGGGACGCGGGGAACGAATCCTCGGCCCCCCTCCCACATGTCGTAACACTGGCAAGGTGTACATTGATGCCACCCTGGCCGCAGGGGCCTGGAAGTACCGCGGCAACTGGCTGGACTCCTGCAGTTTTTTGCCCGCGCGGCAAGCGGCCCTGTCCTAGCAGGGGGGCTTCCACCCCGCCGCTCGAAGAGCCGCTAGAACTTGGACTTGCCCTGGACCAGTCGGGTCGGGCGAAAGGGGGGGATAGCAAAGGGGGGGTTTGAGAATCAGCTCTCGTAGCTGATTTTCCTGGCGCCTCCCGGCGCCAGGAGGCGCCCATGTATCGAAGAATGGGCCCCTCGGTGGGGCCGAAACCAGCTGCATGCAGCAAATTTCGTACCCCCCCCATTCCCAATCCCCCCTTTCGCCCGGCCCGAACCAGGCCGCTGGGTTCGTCAAGGTCCTCGAGCCCAAGGTCCCCCAAGTCGCTGTCCCCGGATGACACCGTCCTAGCACATGGTCTGGTTCGCCTTGGCCCCATCAAGCTGAAACTGTCGTTGTTGGCCTTGCTCGCCTGCTCCTTCATTACCGTACTCGGCAGCCTTCCCGACGGCCGCCTGTCGCAGATGCCAGGCGCTGGCGAGGCCCATGGGGACGAGCGGTGCAACGCCCGCTGCGGCGCTGGCTTGGGCCGCCCCGGCTGCACCGAGGCCCACTGCATGCCCCAGCTTGGCCAGCAGCTCGCCATCGCTCGGCGCTCGGACGTCTATTCGTGAGCGATTTGTTCTGGTATAAAAGAATATGTCTCGTTCGACATTGGGCGGAAAGGAGGGGGGGAAAGGAGGAGGGGGGGAGGACATTCGACGGTTCGACATTGGGCGGAAAGGAGGGGGGGAAGGGGGGCGGTCTGGCTCCAGACCTCTGCTTCGTGCGACTGTTTGCCAGAATGCGGCCTCTGGGGGAGACTCCACCCGCTCGAAACAGGCGCCAACAAAAACAATCAAGATCTACTCCATTGGGGGGGGGTGGAGGGGGGGGCCGCGCCGGTCGGCAAAACAAAACATAAAAAACGATAACTTCCCCGCACATGTTTCGACTTCGTGCGCTCGTGTCTCGCTATATGATCAAGACGCTTCTCGATGGTCCTCGCCTCGCCCGGGAAAAAACGCACACTTCCGAGCGATGCCAAGAACAGTTCGAGCACCTGTTCCAAAGGGTGCCGTTGAGCTGGACATGGCGGCTGCACGCCGACAGGACCACTACCCAACGACTGCTCCGCACTCGCAGCGGGTCCTTCTTGAGTCTGCCCTCCCACTCCAGTGTGGAGCGCGGCGCGCAGGCGACGTCGCTCCTGGGCTCCTGCCTCTTCTGGCACTTGCGAACCTGCTGCGAGTCCCACTCGTAGTTCCAGACCACCGCCCAGGTGCGACAAAATGATGAGACCCGAGAGGGCAGCAACGGAAGCGTAGAGCCCCAGCGGGGCCGAGGTCGCCGGGCCTTGGAAAGGGGCTGCCCTTCTGCCTCGGCCTCGAGCCTCTTGAACCAAAACGGCTTCGGCTCCTCCTCCTCCTCCTCCTCCTCCTCTTCCTCCTCCTCCTCCTCTTCCTCCTCCTCCTCCTCCTCCTCCTCCTCCTCCTCCTCCTCCTCCTCCCCCTGCCCATCCCCACCCCTCCCCCCTTTTCCCCCTCCCCCTCCCCCTCCCCCTCCTCCTCCTGTTCGTCCTGCTGCTGCTACTGCTGCTGCTGCCGCTCCTTTCCTTCTCCTTCTCCCTCTCTCCTTCTCCTTCTCCTTTCTCCTTCTCTCCTCCTCCTCCTCCTCCTCCTCCTCCTCCTCCTCCTCCTCCTCCTCCTCCTCCCTCCCCCTCCTCCTCCTCCTCCTCCTCCTCCTCCTCCTCCTCCTCCTCCTCCTCCTCCTCCTCCTCCTCCTCCTCCTCCTCTTCCTCCCCTCTCCTTTCCTGCCCCTCCTCCTCTCCTCCTCCTCCTCCTCTTCCTCCTCTCCTCCTGCCCCTCCTTCTCTCCTCCTCCTCCTCCTCCCTCCTCCTCCTCCCTCCTCCTCCTCCTCCTCCTCCTCCTCCTTTTCCTCCTCCTCCTCCTCCTCCTCCTTCTCCTGTTTTCCTCTCCTCTCCTCTCCTCTCCTCTCCTCTCCTCTCCTCTCCTCTCCCTCTCCTCTCCTCTCCTCTCCTCTCTCTCCTCCCTCCTCCTCCTCCTCCTCCTCCTCCTCCTCCTCCTCCTCCTCCTCCTCCTCCCTCCTCCTTCCTCCTCCTCCTCCCCTCCTCCCTCCTCCTCCTTCCTCCTCCTCCTCCTCCTCTCCTCCCTCCTCCTCCCTCCTCCTCCTCCTCCTCTCTCCTCCTCCCTGAGACCGCGCGCGCTCGCGAGCGCGCGGAGGACTCAGAGGTGCCCGCTGGCCAGGGCCGCGCGGAGGCGCGGGCTGGGCAGCGGAGGCAGTGCCTCTGCGGGGGCGCCCCCCCGCTGCACGCGGCTCCTCCCTGCTGCTGCCGCGGACGCCGACACATCGCCACAAGACCGGTGGTCAAGGTGAGCGTTTTTTTCTTCATTCTTTCGCCGACTGGCGCGTGCCCGCGCACCCCCCCCCCGTGGAGTAGATCTTGGCTGCTTTTGGCGCCTGCTTCGAGCAGGTGGAGCCTCCCCCATATGACGCACGGTCACAAACAGTCGCACCAAGCAGAGGTCGGGAGCCAGACCCCCCCCCCCTCCCCCACCCTTCCGCCCAATGTCGAAACGCCGAATGGCAGATACTTTTTCAGATTCCGCCGTTTGCTGTGCCCCCGTCTACAGCGCCCAGGGCCCCCTAAACTGGAGCATAGCCAAACGTGGAAATCGGCGTTCTCCGTGCCCCTACTTGCTGTGCCCCCGTCTCTGGCGCCCCAAGTGGTCAAGAACACCACCGCGCCAGCCACGTCGTCGTCGTCGTCGTCGTCGCCGCCGTCGCCGTCGTCGTCGTCGTCGTCGCCGTCGTCGTCGTCGTCGTCGTCGTTTCCATCGTCGTCGCCGCCCCTTCGCCGAATGCCCTACACGAATAGCATGTCAAGGTGGAGTCCCAGACACGACGAACCTAAGGGTCCCCTTCGGAAAGCCAGGGCTGTTCTTAACCCTCGTGCCAGCTGTACCGCTCGAAGGCGGCGGCGACGACGACCGCTCTGGCAGGCTCGAGATTCGACGCTCGAAGATCGAGGATCGCAACGTCTCGCCATTTTTGAAAAGGAAGCCAGGACCCGGATCAATCGGACCCAGGCACATCGCGGGTCTGTGGGATCCAGCGTTTCTGGAGGATGCACGCGGGCGGCACTGTAGTTTGGACCGCAACACGTCCTCCGCCGAGACCGCCCGCCCCCCGCAGAATCTCAGCGAAAGCTTTCTGGTCCGGCTGCGGTTCCGAGCCCAGGGGCTCACATCCTGGAACAATTATCTATCTATCTATCTATCTATCTATCTATCTCTATATAAATATTTATATAAATATTTATGTATATGTAAACAGGGTGAGAATCACTCCGCCCCACAGAACACGGGAAATCACTCTGTTCTGGCCCGACTTACAGCCGATTCGCTCCGTGTGATCGTCACAATCGGCTTCTTCATCATCTGCGTCATCGTCGTCGTCGTGCCCGCAACGATGTGTTGGTTTAGTGTGTTCGTTTGCACGTTGAGGCCGGGCTGACCCTGGACACCCTTATCCAACGCAGTCGCTCTTGCTTCGGCTGCAGCTTCCCCAAAGACTTCACGAGGGCTTCCAACTTGCAGATGGGGTCACGTTTGCGTCTTGCACCAGTCCTCGGCGGAATGCGGCGCCGTCTGATTCTTGTCAGCCAGCGGTCAAAAGCCTTAGCCCCTGGCAAATATTGGGCGCCGCGCCCGTCCTGGAGCGCCCTGCAAGGTCCCGAGAGGGTTCCAGAGCGCTCTCGAGCGATGAATCCAGGACCTAGCCTTAGGTCGCGCCTGCCCCCCTACAGGCCGATCTTCGACGAAAGATAACAGATCCCCCAAACATATCCCCCCAAAGAGTAAAAATAAACTGCTCACAAAACTCGTCCCTGGACTATTTTTTTGACTATTCTTGAACGTTCCCCCTGTAGAGGGCCAGGCCCGACTGAATCCAAGCCCCCCCCCCCCCCCCCGGTCTGTGGGTCTCCTGGAGCGCCCGCGCGGCCTCGGCCCGGCTCCCCCCTCGGAGCCTCGGCCGGAGCGCGCCGAGCGCGGGCCCCGCGGCTTCCAGGAGCGGTCGCTGTTGTCGCTGCTCGGGGATGGACAGACCCCCCTTCAGTAAAACGTGGTCTAGCGCAAACGACCCGAGGCCCAAACCTGGCGGGCGCCAGCCTGGAAAATCACGGCCACGGCGCCCTCTCGAGAACCGAAAGCGGACAATTCACGAATCGACGTGTCGCTGTTGGGGGTTCTGTCCGCCCCCGAGTTGCTGCTCCGTTCAGGTCCCGGGGGGGCCCCCTGCTCTCCGGGGATCCCGCCTCGCGTTCTCGGGCGGGAGTCATTCGGAGCAACAGCTCTGTACGCCTGCTGCTTTTGTTTGGCTTCACCCTTCGGCGGGTCTCGGGAGGACTCCGGGCGGCCCTGGTGAGGAGAGGAGGGGGAGGAGGACCAGGAGGACAACTAAGAGGGGGACGAGGAGCAGGGAGATTGTTCAAGAGATCCCTCAGCAGACCCGATGTCTGTGCGCATGCCACTCGGGACGCCGCGCGATCGTTGGGCCACCGCTTCCTCTACCCCGCAACTAAGCACAGGACCTCGGACCTACGCCTCCTCCTCCTCCTCCTCCTCCTCCTCCTCCTCCTCCTCCTCCTCTTGCGCTCATCCTCCTTTTCGCCTCGTCCTTCTCATCCACGACCTCATTATTCCCATCTCACTCCCTTTCAAATCCTTTCGAACCCACTGAACCCTGCAACATCAGCCTCCCAGGCATGAATTCTCTTCCTCTTCTTCCTCCCCCTCCCCGCTCCCCCCAACTACTTATCCTCCTTCTTTCTCCTCCTCCTCCTCATCATCAGCATCATCATCGTTCCTCCTCCTCCACCTCCTCCTCCTCCTCCTCATCATCATCATCATCATCATCATCATCATCATCATCATCATCATCATCATCATCATCATCATCATCATCATCATCATCATCGTCATCATCATCATCATCACCATCATCATCGCTCCTCGCTCATCGCTCCTCGCTGCCCCTCCTCGCCTCTCGTCCTCGTCGACCTTCTCCCCCCTTTCCTGCTCCTCCTGCTCGTCATACCGTCGGGGCGTTGACCTCAGGAACCCCGGAGAAGGAACGGGCCCCCTGTTTGTTCCCATACGTTACACTTCGATTTCCCATTGAAAACCTCACAGTTAAACTTCGAATTTCCATAAGTGAAACTTCGATTTTCCCGTAAGTTAAACTTCGATTTCCCATAAGTTAAACTTCGATTTCCCATAAATTTCGATTTCCCTTGAACACCTGGGGCACACGGTAAAACAATCAAAGCACACCGAGTCCCTCCCCAAGGAAAAGGGTTTCTTCTTCGATGCCCCGACTGCATTCCTCCTCCCTCTCGTCCTCATCCTCTCCCAGAGGCTGACGCCGACTCCGGCGACTGCGCCGCTGACCAGACTTCTGAGCCGATGCGCAGGCTGTCGATGGCATCCGAAGGGCGCGGAGGGCCTTCGATAGAGGAGTACCCATCGGTCGGAAGAAGTAGGTTGAAACATGAAGTAGGAAGGCGTTGGAAATAGATTGGGTTTCCGCCCGCCTCCTGAAGAGGAAGGAAGAGGGAAAACCACTCGACTCTTGAAGCAGGAAGGCGTTGAAAGTAGATTGGAATCTGGGAATCCAAAAATACCTACTTTCAGCGACTGGTGGGCACATTGGCACGAACTTGTGGACCTCCGTGACGACCTCCAAAAAAGTTTTGCTTCATGCGTGCAGAGCTTTGAGCTTCTTCGGCTCGAGGGCCGCTGGGGAGCCGCCGAGAGCCGCCGAAAAAGCAGCCAGAGGGGCGACGAGCGCCTCCCAGCGCCCGAGGTCGGGGTCGTAGAAGTCCACCTCGCGGGCCGCCTCGAAATCGGCACCCTTGCCGCCTTGGCCAAGGAGGGGGCGTCCAGGCCGCCGCCGCCTCCGCCGCCGCCGCCGCCGCCGCCGCCGTCGTCGTCGTCGTCGTCGTCGTCGTCGTCGTCGTCGTCGTCGTCGTCGTCCCCGCCGTCGCCGTCGTCCCCGCCGTCGCCGTCGTCCCCGCCGTCGCCGTCGCCGTCGCCGTCGTCGTCGTCGTCGTCGTCGTCGTCGTCGTCGTCGTCGTCGTCTGGCGAGGGGGCTCGGGCGTCTGGGGCAGTGGACGGGCAGGGGGGGCGCGCGCATCTCTGGCCGCTGGGCGCGCGGGCCGTGCGCGGGGCCAGCCGACGCCAGACGGAGACGAAGCCAGGACAGGGACAACACCGGGCAGGGATCCAGCCGTGCTGCTGAGAGGAACGGAGCTCCTGCTTGGGCCCCGGAAGCGCCCGCGCGGACGAGGAGCGCGAGGGAGGCAGCCATGGAAGGACCCAAATGAGGAACATCGAGCCCCCTTCTGGGCCCAGGCTGCTCCTTCTCTCGGCGTCCTGGCTATGCATCCAGACTCTCCGAGGTCTCGCGGCTCTGGAGGATGCATCGGGCACCGCGGCCTTCTCGGAGCTTCCTGGAACGCTCTAGAACCAGTGATCCCTGTCCTAATGCCGCGATCTCTTCAAAGACTGGCTCCGTAAAGGTCTGGACCCCTTCCCGGGAACCGGCTTCTCATCCCGAGCCGTTCTGTGGACGGCCCCGGGCCCGACGAGGGCCTCCAGAGGCCGAAACGACGGGAAAAAGCACCCGTCGTGATTGTCCACGACGCGAGGATTGAACATTTTCGGGTGAGCGTTTTCCTATACTCGTTCCCAATCCTTCGCGTGTCGGAGGCCTTGCCGCCGCTCTCTCAAAGCTAGTTGGAAGCTCCTGCGCAGCTCCCTTTCCAGAGCTTGCAGGCTCCCCAGGCACCCTTTCCAGCGTCCTTGCAAGCATCTCCCAGAAAGGTTTCGCGCGCTTTGGATTGCACCGCTATCAGGGTTTGGGACGCTACAAGTGTCCACGGCGCGATGATTGCAAGTTTTCGGGTAATATTTCGGGCCTTCGGCGGCCGTTCGGGACGATCGGGGTTCCCCGGGAGCGCTGTCGGCGCGGCGCAGCTGTCGGAGAGGAGCTCGAGGCTGGAACAACTAACTCTGGGATCCGACGCAAAAACGTCCCAAGACCTCGAGCCCCGATTTTTGTTCCACGACGCGAGGCTGTCAGGGCATGGGCGCCGCCTACGACCACGGCCCCGTCGCGGAACGCCGCCGCCGCCCTCTGCCGCCGCTGCCGCTGCCGCCCCCGCCTCGCCTGCCTCCTCTGGCGGTGGTGGTGAGGACCGAGAACTTTTTGGTCGGCGGCGGCGGGGAGCAGGAGCAGGAGGGACGAGGGACGAGGGACGAGGGAGGAGGAGGAGGAGGAGGCGGAGGAGGAGGAGGAGGAGGAGGAGGAGGAGGAGGAGGAGGAGCCGCCTACGACCACGGCCCCGTCGCGGAACGCCGCCGCCGACGCGAGGTGGCGCGGCGTCGGCATGGCCGGCAACGGCTCCCAGGCCGAGGCCTCGGGGCCTGCCGGGCCCTCCGCGGACCTCGGAGAGCGGGGGGGGGGGGGCGGGCGGCCCGCCGCGAGACCCGTGCTCGCGGTCGAGCGTGTCCACTCGGCGGCGAGCGAGGGGGGCAATGCGAAGGGGAAGGCCTTCTCCGAAGGTTCGGAAGTCCCCCGGCCTTCTGCCTTCTGAACAGTTCTCTGAGCCTGCCCCGAAGGCAAACAAACTCTTCTCAGCAAGCGCGAGGGCTTCTGAGAAGTCCCGCCGCCTTCTGAGGAGGCCTTCTCCTTCTGATTTCCCCCCTCGCTCGCCGCCGATCCATGCCCACGTCCTTGCGGCCAGGGCGCGCGATCCCGGGGATCTGCGGTCGCCTGGAGTTATACCCAACCTTTCTCTGGAGTGATGGAAGCATCGCGACGGGAGGTGTCTGGGGGCCCTTGCCGGCCCTCGGGGCCGTCAAACAACGACTCAGGATGAAAAGCCCGTCCTGGGGAACGGGTCGAGACCACTGGGGGTCGACGTCATGAAAACATCACGACGTCGGGGGCCCGTGTACGCTCCGCGCGGGGTATCAGCGACGAGCGCCCCCGCATCCGCAGGGTCGCGGCCCAGGGGCCGGGCCCGCGAGGCCGTGGATAGAGGCATGTTCTCCGCCCACGAGCTGCTCCTCCTTGCAGGGCAGGTTTCTCTGATTCGCTCGAACATCCCAGAGATCTGAGGTCACCGCCCTCCTGATGGACACTCCACCATCGGGCGCTCTGGCCAGCGACGCAGCGCACCCAGCCCCTCCTGATGCGGGCAACGCCGCAGTGCCCGAAAGAGGCCCTGAAGATGCAACGTTCGGCGGGTTTCCACCGTACCTGTTCAGTGAGCACCCACCCACCATCACGGTGCCGCTTGTACGGTTTCCCCCAGGGCCGTAGGCGACCCGAGGAGGAGGAGGCGGAGGAGGAGGAGGAGGAGGAGGAGGGGAAGTGGGGAGGAGGGAGGAAGAGAAGGAGGAGGAGGAGGAGGAGGAGGAGGAGGAGGAGGAGGAGGAGGAGGAGGAGGAGGGAGGAGGAAGGAGGAGGGGGGAGGGGGAGGAGGAGGAGGAGGAGGAGGAGGAGGAGGAGGAGGAGGCGGAGGAGGAGGAGGCAGGAGGCAGGAGGAGGAGGAGGAGGCGGAGGAGGAGGAGGAGGAGTAGCTGGAGGAGGAGGAGGAGGAGGAGGAGGAGCTGGAGGAGGAGGGGCCGCCTAAGCCCTTCGGAGAAACCCTCCAGTGCCGCTGACAAAATAACGAACTTTGCGCACTGGGCGATTTCGCCCAGTTTCCGGGCCTTGGGACGCTCTCGAATGGATCAGGCTCGAGAAACGCCACGAGTCCAGGGCATTTCGGCCGTGATCTTACACGATGCTGCAACATCTACGCGACGTCGGAGTCCATAGAGAAAGTCTGGGAAACTGGAGATGGCTACACTTCGCAAAAACAAACAACAAACAAGTACTGGGCCCATGGCCCGCACTTTCCAGTCCCGACGCCGCCCTGCCCGCGGATCAACGGACAGGGCTGCGTGAAGAGGACCATGCTGATGGAAGTACGTGCGGGTTTGTGTTCAATGACGTGACGGGGTAGTACGCGCATGTGCGCTTTTCCCTGAGGGGGGCATACATAAACATCGAGCCTTATGCCAGGCACGGACGGGTGCGAACCAATCTATGCCCCTGGCACATGATGACGCTCAGTGTTCCGCCGACCCGGTGGGCGTGTCCGAGGGGGGTCCTGGGGTAGTCGTTCCAGGGTGCTCCTGGGAGACGCTTTTCCGTTCGAAGCTCTCACCCCTGTTCCCTGCTGCGGCCACCTGGGGCTCTCTTTGTGGATGCCATGACAATGGACACCCTAACAATCCTAGCATTGAATCAAATATATGCTTAAAAGGTGCAAAACAGGTTCTGACCATGCTTCAAACAGGTTTTTTATACATGTTTTAAACATGTTTGAAACATCTTTTAGACATCTGGAAGTTCTTTGGCAGCATGCTTCCTCTCCATGGGATCGCCCTCCACAAGCCGAGCTCGCATTTGAGTCCCGGGTCGCAACCGAGTCGACGGCGAGGCCCCCTTCCCTCCTTGATCCCCTCCCCTGCTGGGAGGGGGGCGTGCCTGCGGGGGGGCGGCGGGGGGATCTCCCGAGGGGCCCCCTGGGCGTGCCCCGGGGGCGCGCGGTGCCCGCCACGCGCTGCGCCCTCGGGCACCCGCCGGCCGCACGCCCAGAAGGCCCAGCCAGCGCGGGAGACGCCCGCGAGGCGCCCCCCCAGGGCGAGAGCCCCGGCGAGCGCCCGCGAGGCGCCCGCGGGGGGCCCACGCCGCGCTCCCGCGCCTCGCGCGGCGCCCACGGGCGCCGCCCCAGACACGCCCAGAAGCACCCTTGAGCCCAGCTGCCGACGGCCCGACGCTCCCGGCCAGCACCGGGCGCCCCCCGAGGCGCCCGCCCTCCCCGGAAGGCCCCCCGGGGCGCTGGGCCACCAGAGAAGAGGCGCCGCGCTGCGCCCCCGAACCGAGGGCCCCGAACTCCCCACACGAGGCGCCCACGGTGCGCCCGCGGGCGGGCACCGGCCGCACCTCGGACAGCGCCCCCACTCTTTCTCTCTTGGCCCCTGCAGGCGAGAAGGCTCCAGAGACCCCCGGTGTGAACACTGCCTGGGGTCCTCTGCCTCCGAGGCCTTCCGTCCCACGGACGCCTCGGGGAACCTGTAGGGAGCCCCCAAGACGACCCCAGGACGGCCCCATCCAGATGTCCGACGCCACGAGCAAACATATTGACATCGTAAAACATCTCGGCCCCACGACCTGGCAAGACGACCCCAAGATGCTTCCACTGAGCCTCGCGAGAGCTCGGCAAAGCCGTCGCGCCCAAGACGGCCCCGGGATCCCCAAAGTGCTTCGAGTGGGACGCCAAGAGGCCCAAAGGAAGTCCCCGAGGAGCCTTCAAAATGCCTTTCAAACAGGGGAGCCGGGAGGAGGAAAAAGAAGAGAACGATGCCGAGGACACGGAGAGGTGCTTCAGGGCCGCGCAAAGGGTCTGGAAACCTCAACCTCTCGCTGCCGCTGCGCTGCTGTGCTGGCACGGTGGCGGGGTTCGCCGCACGCAGCTGGACGTATCTTCACCGACCGACGAATATTGCAGACCCCATGTTCCCTGAGATCCGACGTCACGAACAGATTGCAACATCGTTTCGCCACATTTTTCCGGGCCCGATCGATCTGTGTACTGCTCCCTGGGCCCGAAAGAAAGCAAAAGCGCCCGCTGTGAACAACGTGCAACGCCGAGGCCTCCAGATTCCTGCGACAATTCCTCTCGCCATCGCTGGGACGTCCATTCCCTGTGCATTTTTTGGTTTCGTGCGCTCTCTATGCTCGGAAGGAGATCCTCGGGCCGGGCGAGAGGGGGGGATAGCAAAGGGGGGGTTTGAGAATCAGCTCGCGTAGCTGATTTTCCCGGTGCCTCCCGGCGCCGGAGGCGGCTATGTATCGAGGCATGGGCCCCTCGGTGGGGCCGAAACCGGCTGCATGCAGCAGATTTCGTACCCCTCCCCTTCCCTGTCCCCCCCTCTTGCCTGGCCCGAGATCCAGGATGCTCCTCGATGGTCGTCGCCCCAGAGCAGCATGCAAACGTCCGAGCGATGCCAAGTCCTCTGGGCCGGATCGAGCCGCGAGGGCCCCAGGGCCCAAAGGACACGGAGGACCGGCGCGCGCCGGGAGTGACAAGAACGGCGCTGCCCAGATCTCAGGAGCGGGCAGAGGAGGAGGAGGAGGAGGAGGAGGAGGAGGAGGAGGAGGAGGGGGGAGGAGGAGGAGGAGGAGGAGGAGGAGGAGGAGGAGGAGGAGGAGGAGGAGGAGGGGAGGAGGAGGAGGGAGGAGGGGAGGGGGAGGAGGAGGGGGAGGAGGAGGGGGAGGAGGAGGAGGAGGAGGAGGAGGAGGGGAGGAGGGGGAGGAGGGGGAGGGGATGAAGAGGAGGAGGAGGAGGAGGAGGCGGAGGAGGAGGAGGAGGATGATGAAGAGGAGGACCAGGAGCCGAGACGATTGCAGGTGGCGCAGACCCTAAGCTTCCGCTCGGACGTCCATTCCCCGTGCATTTGTTCGGCTTCGCGCGTGCATCTTCTCGAAAAGGTGATCCGAGATGCTCCTCGCTGGCCCTCGCCGAGAAAAAGTGCACACGTCCGAGCGATGCCCAGTGAGTTCACTGTCGCCGCCCCCTTAGGGTGGCAACCTACCAAACCACCCCAACCCAGCTCGAAATCATGGTTGGGCTCGTCAATCTACAGTCGGGGGGGGGGGGCACTCCAAAGCATTGAGGAAACACGATGGGGGTCCGTACACCCCCAACCCGAAATTCCGGGGGGTCTAGGGCCTTCGGGTTGGGTGGCTTGGTAGGTAGCGAAAAAGAGAGGAAGGGAGGGAAGGGGAGGGACAACGGGGAGAGAGAGGGGTGGAGCACAGCAGAGATCAACAGGAAGGGGGTTCAGGAGCAGAGAGGAGCACGCGACAGAGCCAGGCGGCCGGGGCCCGCGGGTCGGCCCTCGCGGGCGGGTCGGGCAGCCGGAGAACCTGGCACGCGCCCCAAACCCTCGACGTCTTCACTTTTCCATGCCGCGGACCCCTGGACCCATTCCGCGGGACCGGTTTTTCCTCTCGGGTCGTCTTTGGACAGTCCCGGGGGCCGGTGAGGGCCCCCAAGAGGCCGGCAGAGAGCGAGCAACTCCCCGCCGCGATTTTTCCACAGCGCGAGGGGGTCTGGGGCCGATGCGATTGCTCCACTCCGCGGCCCCAAGGCCTTGAGGTCCCGACCGCTTCCCCCGGGGGGCACTCCTTCCACGGGCGCCCAACTTCTGCGCGCCTCGCGCGGAGAGCGAGTCACTACCTTTGCGCTCTCGCGCCGCCCCCCCCCCCCCAGCTAGGGGAGAAGAGGGGGACGAGGAGGACTCGGAGCCCAACTGCGAAGCGCGAAAAACTTCGCGCCCTCGAGTCGTGAGAGGCTCCACGACTTCTGCCGTCCCTCGACTCGCGCCGGAGCGGCACCGCGAGGTGCTCCGACTTTCCCTGGAGATGATCTCTGGGTCTACCTCGGACTTGCCCGGATCTATCTCGGTTTGCCTGGATGTACCTCGATTTATCTGCCATCTACCCGGATCTATCTCGATTTACCTGGATTTACCTCGACTTATCTGCCGTTTACCTGGATTTCTCGGGCTCGACCCCCACAGGTCGACTGGCAAGGCGTCGCCAAGCCCCATGTAGGGATCGAGGGCGCCCTTGCCTCCTCGCCCCCGGATCCCTGCGTGCATGGCTGCGCCGGGGCCCAGTGGCGGGCCTCAGGGTTAGGTCGGCCTGCCCCCCTACAGGCCGATTTTCCGGGAAAAATGCAAAAATGGGGCGAGAACAAAAAGAAGTGCACACATGGTCAACCAAAAAACTGTTAAACATAATTCCCAGACTATCTTTTGACTATTTTGGTATACTACTCCTGCAGAGGGACAGGCCCGACTTAACCTCAGGGCCCGAGGCCGAGGAAAGGCGCCGGGATTGAACATGTCATGTCGTCTGCCGCGGGCGCCCGCCGCGCGCGTCGGAGGGGATGGTCGGCCGCAGATAGCCGAGTTCGGTTTTTTTTTTCGCAGCGTGGCCCCCTGGAGGTCACCCCTACCCCCGGGAACCGGGCCTTTTCGCCCCCAGCCGCTCTGTGACGGCCCTGGGGGCCCGACGGGCCCCCCGAAGCCGAAGGCTGCCCAGGCTGGCCGTTCTGAGGTTCCAGAATTTGTCATCCTGGGCCGTCCTCGGACCACTATAGGGCACCCAAAACGCTGCCCACGACAGCACACGCCCGCCATGGCTTTTTGCTCACGGCGCGAAGGTGCCAGGCTTTCGAGCCACGGCTCGGGCCTCCAGCGGCCGCTCGGGAGGATCCCGGCACCCCTCGAGCGTTGCCGACGAGGCGCAGGCGCCGAGAAGAGCATCCCGAGGCTGGAGAACCTCCGGGGACCAACGAGCACGCAGGTCCCAAGACCTCGGGAGCCAACGAAACGCGTACGAGACAGAGAGGCATCGCGAGGACGTCTGGTCCCACCTCGGCTATGCGCAAGGGTGCCCCTGGCAAGAGTGACCTTCGGTGGGCGACTTCTGGGGGCCGCGCGGAAGCCGAACCCGAGCGCGCAAGACGCTGCTATCGCATCGCGTTCAGTCATCTGGGGACCGCGCCAGGGGTCACTCTGGCGAAAGGCCACTCTGAAATGCAGCCGATCATCCCTGTCTCCGCGTCGGGCGAGGATGGGGGCGAATAGCCCAGGGGAGAGCAATACACGCATTCGCAGGGGAGCCTCACCGAATACATGGATCATCGGCGCCCTGGATACATGTACCCCCCTGCTTAGAGTTCATATTTGTTTTGCTAAAACCGCTGATTTCACTCGAAAGTCCAGGTCCAGATATACACAAGTTCAACAGACAAAAGAACAAGCTCCAAGAGAACGCTCGGGGTCCACTCCGGATTCCTGCATGCTTCTTGAGCAGCACCTGGCGTCCATTGAAGGCTGAGGCTGCCTCTTCAGATGTTTAATGGGTGTACAGTCGGGGCGTTGACCGAAGGAACCCTAAATAAGGAACGAGGCCCATTTTTTCCAGAAGTTAAACTTCGATTTCCCATCGAAAACATAAGGGAAACCTGAGGCAAGCTGCGAAACACTTAAGGAACGCGGAGCCCCTCCCCAACGAAAAGGGTTCCTTCTTCAGCGCCCCGACTGTATTTCCCCCCCCCCCCCCTGGGCTAGCAGTCCGGGAGGCAGCAAGACGCCGCCGGGGATCCGCGCGATCGGCGGCGCGCGGGGCATCGAGGATCGGGGATCGAGGACGCGGTCGTCGTCGTCGTCGTCGTCGTCGTCGTCGTCGTCGTCGTCGTCGACCCCGCGGCGGGGCGGGGCGGGCAGCCGGGGGCGCGGGCAGCACGGGCTCCAGCTCCAGGCCCTCGGCCGCGGTGAGCGCCTGGCCGTTCAGCCCGAGGCCGCCGAGGTTGAAGGCGAGTCGGCCCGCCGAGTCCTGCCGGGGAGACGCAAGTTACCAGCCTCGAACGTATCCCTATCCCTAAGACTGACACGCCAAAAGGCGATGACAATCTTAGGGATTCGCCCTCGAGAAATAAGGGAACCCCTAAGATTGGCATCGTGATGAGGAGGTGCCCAGCATAGGGATAGGGATATGTTCCAGGCTGGTAAGTAAGACTCGGGTACGGGGGACTCGGGTTGGCCTGACGGGGGGCCATCAAAAAAAATGACGAGGCCCCATCCGAAATCTGACGCGGGCTCCCTTTGCAAACATACATCCAACGATCCCCGGACCGTCCAAATCCAGGACACGCTCGTCGAAAAACGTCGGCAAGCCCGAGTTCCGGCTTACTCGAGTCCTACGTTTCCCCGATCTTGGGAGAGGTCATGCGGGTTGAGTGGGCCGCGAAAATGGCAAGGCCGCTCTTTCACCGTTGTCGACAACATGCCTCTCGAAAGCGGTAACGGTAAGTAAACAAACGGCGACTGGAAAGCGGCAGAGAAACGTCCCGGGATTGGAACCGGAGCCGGAACTGGCAACAACAACGGCGATGGAACCACCAAACAAAAACGGCAAAACGAAACTGGTCAAATAATTGCCTTGTTGTTTCCAAGGCCCACTAAGCATGCGGGTACCAATGCCACCGCAGCCGTCGTCATGTGTACTAAGTGTGAGGGTGAGTTTGAAACAGGTTCCGCCCTGCTCGCGCTTGTCAGTGTGGATCGGTGTCCCTCTTAGCGACTCTTAGCGCTTGTCAGCGCCTGTTAGAGCCTAGTGGCGCCTACATCAGGGCCTCCGAGCGCCCATTTGCGACCACCAGTTACGAAGCGAAGCAGGGGAACGCAACGAGCCATGCCTGACCTGGCCCCCGCGCGTAACACGCCCACCCATCGTGCCACCACCAGGATGCCTTGGACGCTTCCGTTGGGCCCAAACGGGCTTCCGCACGCTTCCGTCGGCTCCTCGAGGCTTTCCGGCCTCGGGATGCCTTTGAGCCTGTTTTTCTTTAGATCCAGGCAAGCTTACTTGCATGGCGTTGGCCCCCCCCCCCCCCCCCCCCCCCCCTCGCCCTTTCCATCGAACACGAGCGTGCAAGTGCCTCTCGACCTGCGTGATTTCCGCACGTCGAATTGCTTTCGGCTTGCTTCAGACTCAGCCCCCCCCCGTCCATGCAAGTAAGCTTGCCAGAGTCTAAAGCAAGCCTGGGGGGGGGGGGGGGCTGAGCCTGAAGCAAGCCTGGGGCGGGGGAGGGGGGGGGCGCGGCAATCACGCAAGTCGAAAGGCACTTGCACGCTAGTGTTCGCTGGAAGAGGGGCGAGGGGGGGGGAGGGGTGCGAACGCCATGCATGTAAACTTGCCAGAGTCTGCAGAAAAACAGGCACACAGTACGCGGGGGGGGTCGAATATTCCCAAGCCGTCATCAGGGGAAGAGGGAGAGTAGTATTCATATTGAGAAATTGTGGAGGAGGAGGACGAGGAGGAGGAGGAGGAGGAGGAGGAGGAGGAGGAGGAGTCGAAATAAACAAGCTCTCTCAGCAGCTGCGCCCCGTCTAACCCTCCTCCCTCCTCCTCCTCCCTCCTCCTCCTCCCTCCCCCTCTCCTCCTCCTCTCCCTCCTCCTCCTCCTCCTCCTCCTCCTCCTCCTCCTCGCGGGAGCGTCCCATACCATCGTGTCGGCTCCTGCGAAGCGACGCTGGTCAACGCCAGACGACGCCGATCGACGCGTCATCGACGCCAACCTTGGCGCTAAATGGGCTCATCGGCTCCCAGACGCTCATCGACGCAAGCCGGCGCTGAAGACGGAATTGGAAGGGAATGCCAAGGTCCCATGATGTGCTACAGTCAACCCGTATAGTAAGGGTGCGCGATGAGGATGCAAGGGCCTTGGAGGACCATGTCGATACTTTTGAGCGGGGCGCGGCCAGCGAAAATGGCGAAGGATGGACCGAGGAGGCAAGGATGCAAGGGTACCCTTGGAAAACTTGCCCATCCTTTCTACACGGGTTGACTGCACTCCAGATTTCGTAATAGAAGGGAGGGGGTCTGGACCCTCCAAGACAAGCCATTTCAGACCCCCCCCGTGGGAGAACCCTCCAAATCATCGTCCCCGGACCCCCCCAGGCCCTCCAAGATAGCCTGGAAGAGACCCCCCCCGAAATGAGACCCCCTCCCTTTTATTACGAAATCTGGAGTACCGAACCCCTCGTGTCGTGGGCAGGATCGCCGCGGGAGCCTTTTGCTCTCCTCGGGCTCCTGGCGGGGCCCTCGCCATGGGCCCCTGGGCCGTCGACCAGAGGCCTCGGGACGAACAGCCCGTCCAGGGACAATGGGTAGGAGGAGGAGGAGGAGGAGGAGGAGGAGGAGGAGGAGGAGGAGGAGGAGGAGGAGGAGGAGGAGGAGGAGGGCGGCGAGCGAGGGGGGGGAAACGAGAAGGAGAAGGCCCTCTCAGAAGGCGCCGGGACTCCTCAGAAGCCCTCGCGCCTTCTGAGAAGTTTCTTGCTTCTTCGGGCGAGGCTTAGAACACTTCTCAGACGGCCCGGGGACTTCCGAGGCTTCTGAGACGGCCCGCCCCTTCTCACTTCCCCCCCTCGCCCGCCGCCGGGTATGGGGGTGCCACGGCTCCAAGAAGCACGACCGTCGAGGGGCTGGGGATGCCGTCGTCGCGCTACCTGAGGGAACGCCGACTGGGCGGAAGGGCTTTTCTGGCCACGGCGAGCCTCGGATGCGAAATCATTGTTTTTTTCTTTCTTTCTCGGGTCACGGTCGTTACCCAGGGGGGGGGGGGATTCGGGCGGGAGGGAAACGGTAACGGCGGCCGCGGCGTGCACCCGCCAGGGTGCGTCTGCGCCACCGACGCATCAGTCGCCCGTGTGCGCCGCAGCATGTGGGGGGGGGTCCAGCCCCCCCCCAAGTACGATCGTTAGCGTTACCCGGGGGGGGAGGAAGGGAGCTTGGCCAGGGTGGCGAGCATTCCCCTGGGGAGGAACAGCACCGCTCACGACCAGGTTCCCCGACCTGACTATCAGGAACCGGATACGAAGGCCCCTCCTGCACCCAAACTGGTACTCACTCCAGCACCCTTGCCTGGCACCTTGACTGTGCCGCCAGCCTCGGGCACACGCTCACAGCAACCACGGGTCGGTGGATCCGGCGCGCGGGCACCAGACCCATCGATCGGGGACACAGCGCCCCCGAAACGTGAAGCGGAGGGCGGATCGCGCCGATGCTGCCCGGATGGCTCCAGCACAGCAGAACACGGCATGGCCAAAAACTTGCGGGTGTCCCCGCAGAGCTCTTGGCTCGGCGCTGGGCCCCCTCCCCCCTTTCCCCCCTCCCCCCTCTCCCTCTCCATCCCCTCCCCCCCTAAATCGTCGGCACTGGCGTCAGCCTGCTGTCGATCTTCTCGTAAATGATTATCTTGATAATCTTTTCCTCCACAGCTCGCGCCAGCGACACAACAATCTATAAGATATCTCGATAGCCCCTGGTGGGCTGAAACAGTCACTCACTTGGTGAGTGGGTGGCCGGTCGGCCGTGCCCGGTAGCCTTACCGGGACTCAAGGGCGCCCTCGGACCGAAACAGCAGCAGTAGCAGTCGCTCGGTCTCGGGGCGTCTCGGATCGGAAGGCCAACTGCACAGTACAAAACACACAGGGGAAAAACCTTTTGGCCTTCGATCCTGCCTGAAAATCATCTCTGGTAGCGGCGCTACTCTCGCATACATCTCGCCAAGCGAGCAGATCTGAAACATGAAATAAAATCTCCGCGAAGCGGACAGATATATAAGATGAGATGAAATCCCCGCGGAGCGGTCAGATATGTAAAATAAGATGAAATCCCCGCGGAGCGGGCAGATATGTAAAGTGAAATGAACTCCCCGCTGAGCAGGCAGATATGTAAAGCTACATTGTCACAGAGCTCGTCTAAATCAAATCACAAACCTCGCCAAGGCGAGCGATATGGAAAAGAAACCACCTGGCCGAACTCACTCTTCCGCCTGAACTTGTGGTTCCTCGGCGAGTGTCGGCTTCTCGGCGAGAATATCGAGTCCCCTCAGACCTCGTTTCCTCGCAGACTCGAACTCCGGGTCATGAACCAGCGTCCAGTAGCTCCTGCACATGAAAACATCTAAAAGCTTCTGCGCCTCGTACTTTATCTTCGTGCAACCATCTGCTACCTGCGCATGAGAATGAACCCAACGAAGCTCGGCACCGCACTCTTGAACTCCTTGCTTGAATGCCATGCACTCAATAGCAGCGCGCTTGTCGCTGAGACCCAGTGCTGAACTCTCCGAACCAGTAACTGCATCATATAGGCTCTTGCAGTCCGTGACGAGAACACTCCGTGGTCCCTTCTTGATCATGTCGTAGCGCTTGTCGCCCTTGAGCTGCACATCTGCGTTCAGCATCTCCATCCAAGCTAGCTGTGTATACTCCAGCTCCTCCGCGGCCTCGCTTGCTGCTTGGATTTCTGCACCCAACGATGAACGGCACTTTCGTGTCAGCTTCTTGGAAGCTCCCGTGAATACTGTGAACTTCTGCTTCTTGCCGCTGAGCGCCTCCACCTCGGTAGTGCACACAACATAGCCTCCTTGACTGCTCCCATCTGCTCTTGCACACCACGATGCATCGAACCAACATACCCACGCCATCTGCTTATAAGGATGTATGGTAACTCCTGTGCTCGCAAACTCATGAATAGTCTTGACCAGCTGGTTGATCCTGCCGAGGTCCTTGACCGTCGCACTGTTGACAACCGCTTGTAGCATAGAAACGTGCACAGCGATTTGAGGCATCGTCTGTGTTGAAAGCCATTGAGCTTGGCCAAGGATGGCACGGCATGCAGTCACTTCTCCGGCTGTCAGCTTGTCGTCCGGACTAGCCTTTCGGCCTCTCTTGACGTTGATCGGCTGGATGGTCTTGGCATACTTTTCTTGACTTAGCCTGAAGCCTCCATCTGGATTTCTAGAAACTTCAACTCCACAAACTGAATAGC